GTATTTAATAAAGATTTTTTTCAGGCTGAAATGGTCAATAGCCTTTTGAGGGTTGAAGAGATTGTTGCTGATATGAAAAAGGTTAAAAGGGAAAGAGAGTTGCGGCATTTCTTTGGAAACCGTTTACACTGGGAAGACTTAGCTCAAAGTAACGACAAAGTGTATGAAGAGTTTCAGCTGTTGGAGTCCGAGAAGAGGATTACTGAGGAGCAGTATACTAGGACTATTTTTGAAAAGGCAAAAAGAATCTAGGATTTGGTATGTTAAGGTCTGATCTACTTTAGAGACTGTGAGTCATTTCTGAAATTAATAGAGCATTGGTTTATTTATTGGAGAAATTTCTACCGTTAATTTTTAGAGTGACGTTTATGTTGCTGCTCCAAGGAGGAGTGATTAACATTTTGATTTGATAGTTTTACTTTTCGTTGTTTACCGAGTTGTTGTACACTTTTGTGCCTTAAAGCTTTTTGAATTAATGATGATTTTGAAACTCCTTTGTCACTATTTACTGTTGTCATATTTTGTAATATTATTCCTTATTGTTTGACAGAGATTTACTGTAATCTTATTTGTTTTGTAGCTTGACGGTTTGCTTACGGAGTAGGTTAAACAGGTTATTTGATGCTTAGTAATCGGAAATGGATGAAGTAAACGAGCTTTGTTTTACTCACTTGACTTTTCATTATAGCAGCGTGCCCGCTTTTTCTGAATAGGATTGAAAATTTTATTTTTTGTTCACGCGAATTTCTTATAGTTCTCTGTTGTTCAGAAGTCTGTTCAGGGTAATTATAGTCTGTGGCAACATTTGTTTAGATTGCAATATTTTTTCATTTGGACTACGCGTGAAGTCAATTGTTTTTGCTACGGCTGGTTGATTTTTTGTAAAGTTTTTCCTATCTTGTTTTTTTCATTTGAAGGCGAAGGTACTTTTGCCAAAGAAGTTTGCTACTAGAATACTGTTAAAGTTTTTCTTGAAGAGAACTACCAATTTTTCTCCGTCTTTTGGTAGATCCATCTTTGAAAATTTTGAAGGTTGTTGTAGTTCACGCAAAGAGCTAGGAAATTTAGAGGATTACAGTCTATTCTTTTGAAGTTTGACATCGAGAGCTGTTGGTACATTAAAAACATATAAAAAGAAATTATCATCTATCATTAGGAGCAGACTTTTTGTGAGGAAAGACTAAGTTGTTGGGCGCAACAACATTGTAATATTTTATAAAGCAGTGTTAAGCTTGGTGAGCAGCGTGGAGGTAAGAAGCTTAATTTATAATAAAGTTGTGTTCTGTTAGCTTGAGCTGCTTCCAAGTTCCCTTGGTTTTGAATTGGATCTGGTTGGCAGTGCACGAACGATTCTCTTTTGGATGTCGTCAAGAGATTTGCAGGGTTTCTGTCGACTACGTAAGTTTTTGTGTTGCTTTTTAATCTTTAGTTTCTGTAAATAATTTTCAACTCGAGATTTCTTTCTCTCTAATATTTGTTTGTGAGAGGCGTAAAATCTGTGATTCAGTCGGTCCATCAGTTTGCATTCTTTTATTAGACCGTAAGAAGTATCCTCGTAAGTTATAAGGTAAACTACGGTGTAAGCTGTTTTTCTTTGTCAGGCTGTCTTAACGGCTCAAACGGTTAGCACAAGATGTGGATTAATTGCCGCATAGCTAAGCAGTCACCGGATTTTTGGAAAATACCCCTTCTTTCACTTCTTATAGCTTAAAATTGTTGCTAACTGTTCATTTCTTATAGTGAGCTCTCACGTTCAGTTTCCAAACAAGTACATCTGTACGCAGATGTACTCTACATCTAAATATTTGGATAAAATTCTTGATTGCTGAGCACCGTGTTCTGCAACTTCTGGCTTAATGTTAAGTTACAGAGAATTTTACCTACTAACTTTGAAAATGTGAAAAGGCGTCGTTTAGGGCTTTTTGGAAAATTTTTTGTTTTTTTTTATTCTAGGCTGGGTTGATTTCCCAGAAGGTTGGTCGTTTTTCATTGTAGTGCTGTCATCGAAGGATATTTGGGAGGACTGGGTTCCAAATTTTTTCCGACGAAACCCTCTCCGAGTTTTCAAACCGTCGGTTCGTTTCACTTAATGCTGGGCAAATTTTAGGTCTTAGGCGAAGCTGGATCAAACGGCTTACAACTGCTCAGGGTACTCAGGGTAGTGTTCACCCTAATAAGCTACTGAGAGGGACTGCTTACTGTGTGAATTCTGTCGGCTTTCGTATATTCTTCAAGACATTCTTCAGCCACAGAGTGTCACTGAGAGAATTGGGAGAACGCACAAAACGGATTTCGTAAGCTGCTTTAGCAGAATGCTGCCAACTAACTTGGCCCTGGTTCATCACCAACTCTAGCTCTCTACGGAGGGTTCGTCCTGCTAAGTCTGCGGCCGTAAACTTTAATCGGCACTGTGAAGGAGAGAGCGATTTGTTGACAGGGAGGGAAGAAAAGGTGGCGAAAGAGTTCTCTGTAAAAAAAGTTTTAGCCGTTTTGCTTAGAACTTTTTTTGTTCGTGAATTAGGTGGGAACGTGTTAAAGTACTTGTTTCGGCTTGTCCAAGAAGTTTGTCGTTTGCATTTTTGGAAAAACAAATTTAGGACGTCATACGATGAAGAAGAACGTTTGCGATGAGCTCCTTACTTGACACCAGTAACAAAATCGTAACAGATATTCTTCATGAGTTCTGATCCTGACATTTTTTTCAGTCTGGTCGTTATTGCTGGTTTTTCAAGGATAGATTCAGCGTGCGAAAAGGCAAAATTTAACTTTTTTCGCAAGCGGAGATAACTTTTCGCGATGAGCGTACGCCGTTCACAGCGCTGTTTTCAAATTGAGGTTTTTGAAAATTTTGAGAACTTAGAGGATTTAGCCATGATAGCTTTACAGTGGAGAAAATCAACTTGACGTACTCATAAAAATTTCAGTTTTTTTTGTTTTCTGACTGGTGTTACATGAGTGACGTCTAAGGGAGAGTTCTGGTAGTTTTTTTTGGGAAGGCCCAATTCCTTCAGCGTCTCATATTATACCAACACGTATTTCATTTGAGTGTTACCTTATCTTCCGTCCTATATTTCCTTATCCAGACAATGTAACATGCCCAGGCGGCGGGAACGTTCAGGTCTGATCAACACGGGGCTTCATTCGACCGCTCGGTATTTAATTAGTCCATTACTTTATAGTCTTTATAAAAGACTTCAAAATTCATATTTCTTCACTATGGTTTTTTTTATTAGTGTGCATGGCGGTACTTGTAATCTAATCCAAGTAGTACCTTCCTGAGCTTTTAGACATTCCATTCTCGGGTCAGGGTTACTGTGCAAGAGAAGTTGGTTTACGATTAAATTCATTTCTTCCATGACGACTGGCCTACTAGCACAACTGGCCCAGTCAATTGTCTTCCGAATACCGTTGTATATAACTGAATCGAACTTTGCTGCGTAGGCCTTCAATACTACCTTCCTCGTCTGTAGCATTGCTGGCACCTTACAGGTTGCAAGAATTTTCCTCTGCAGTCGATAATGAATGGATGGTTGAAGCTGCGATAGTTTGTCCCTTACTGTATTTAAAGAGAGACCCATTATACCGAAAACGAAAGCTGTTGGCGCAGGTGGCTAGAAACCAAACTCGGTCGATCAG